AGCCCTCGGCTTGCAGCGACCACCCGAGTCCGGGCTGCCCACTGAAGGAGGAGGAGAAGCAGCATCCGCAGCCACCGCAGCAGCAACTTGACCCAAGTAAGTGCAAAAGAAATTGCCCCCTGATTTATTGCTGAAACCTGTAAGGCTCGAATGTGCAAAACTGATAGTTTTACTAACCTATAAAAACGTCTAGACGCCTACCCAAGCCGAGGCGAGCAACACGCATCCATAAAAAAGCTTCCCATAACCACCTACCCTGGGCGCGCGGTTTGTACGGTAAACAGAACGCGGGCATTAGGGCTTTTTATGATAATTCTCCCCAAGTTGTGAAAAGCGGCCATCGTTGGTGAAATTAATTTAACGACCTCTCTCTTCCACCCTGTCGTCTCTCCCTGCCTCCCGTCTACCCCTTGCTCCCCTTCTCCAAACCCCCCTCTTCGTAGACAACCCCGCAGCAAACTGGATCCACGCTCGCTCCACCCGGAAAAAGCGCTGCCCATATACCAAGTACCAGACGCTGGAGCTGGAGAAAGAATTCCTCTTCAACATGTACCTCACTCGGGATCGGCGCTACGAGGTGGCCAGAATTCTGAACCTCACAGAGAGACAGGTCAAAATCTGGTTCCAGAACCGCAGGATGAAAATGAAAAAGATGAGCAAGGAGAAATGCCCCAAAGGAGACTGACCCGGCACGGGGTTGGCGGGAGCGCTCAGAGGCAGCGGGGATTTTTGGTTTTTATTTTCCCCTTCTTTGTGGGTGCTTGATTCCAGAAACTCCAGCGTCTCGGACTTTTTCCTTTTTTAGGTAGAAGTGACTGTGTGGTTGGTCTCTGTGAGGTATTTGGGGGACTCTGTATTTGCTCGCTTATGTGTTGGAGAAACCAAGTGGCTTTGGGGTTTCGCCCTGTCCCACTCCCTTCCTTTCCTGCTCCATTGGTTCTTTAGGAAATGCTCTATTTTGTTGAGTGCACGCTGGCTTGAGGAGCTCTTTCCTGTGTAAATGTCCCCCATGTTTCTGAAAAGTGCTGTAGTTTAGCCCCCCAGCGCTGTCCAAACAGGGGCCAAGTGTGCCCCAATTCCGAGAATGAAGGCAGAGCGCCGCCAGTGCGGACACCGGCTGCTAGCCCAGGCCTAAACCCAGTCGGGTTTCCCACCAGTTGCAAAAGCCCCCTTTCCTCAGGGAACCCGCGGGCCCTGGCCAAAATCTCGAGTGAGGCCTAGAGAGGAGTCCGGGGCCTCGGGTGGGTCGGGGTTGGTTCTCGTGCATTGGAGGAGCTGCTGTCTCCTCAGAAGGGCTGTGCTCGCGTGGGCGGGCACGGGTGCTGGCCCTCTC